CTCATGTTGTTTAAGTGATAAGCAAAATAGTTTTAAAGAAATGTTTTATGAAAAGTTACAAAGTAGAATCAATATGCTAAGCTTACTATTTTATGAGCTTTTACAAGAGAAAAAGTTGATTTATTTATCAAATGTTTATATCAAATGAAATTGAATTCAAATGTTATTATTGCATTTGTGAATTGATTATAAAGAAAGCAAATGCTAAAGTTATACTTAAATGTGTTTTATATAAAATTATAAAGAGCTAGTGTTAAATGTTTTATGATACTTGGAAGTGATTTTCAAAGTACTCATTTGAATGGAAAATGGTATATAAAATTATAAAGAGCTAGTGTTAAATGTTTTATGATACTTGGAAGTGATTTTCAAAGTACTCATTTGAATGGAAAATGGAGAATGATCTTGAAAGAGGGGATATAGAAATGTTTGAGCAAAATGAAATGCTGTTCATTACGGCTAATGATTGATTTTTAATGGAGATGTTTTAAAAGTCTCACAATTAAATGTATGACATGGTTATTACCTGATATCACTTCATTTGTTGAAGTTGATATAATGATATTATTATTACCGTGCCGATATCACTTCATTTGTTAACATTGATATTGTGATTTATATGGATATGGAATGAATAATATTACAAATGATATCATTCACTCTTAAATGAGGTTGAGATTGTTCCTTTTCTTTTGATATTCATATCACTAATTGAGGTTCAGATAACTTTGTCTTGATGAGCTCATAAGACACTGATGGCCCTTTGGATTGAGTTTGCATAAGCTGTGGAAACAACCAGTGATTAATGATTTATTGATATGTTATAATATCTCCATTGAATTGATTATTTTTGGTAAGCAAATGAATGTGATTTAGTTGATACGATTACTTGTTATTTTTATCTAACTGATTTATTTTTAGTAAGCAAATGATAAGTATTTATCTTGAAAGAGGTACTGTTGAAAATTGTTTTTCACACTTAAATATCTATTGGTGAATTATCATTCATATTATATAATTTATATAGTGCACTACTAAGTCTTATGCTTAGTGATAGTTGTTCTTTATACTATCGCAGGAAAAAGGAAATGAGAAGTAGGAGAGTAAGTCCGACAGAGTGCTAAGTTCTTTCTACAGCTTTCGAAGGGTGAGCTACAGATGTAACCATTGCCTTATGAATAATTTTATTAGAATTTGTATGGTTTATAAAATAGAGACTGGTCACTAAAATATATATTGAGCAGACTAATGCAACTAAGGTTATATGAGTTTACAATTACTGATATTTGTTATAAAGCACTCAAATGGTTTAGTTACCTTTAAAATTAATTTCTTGTCTTAATAACGACTCTAAAGGAACAATCCAATACGGAATCCTCTTTCTAATGAACTTATGGATAATGGTTTCACCAATTTATTTGAGTATGTAAATGTGTAATTTATAATGGACTTTTAGTTAAAACATTTTAAATAGTGGACTGCTATATCTTTTATAAAAAGGAAATTTATTTAGTTTATAAAAGTGAGTCTTATGATATGTAAAAGGTTTTAAATAGTGTTTGAAATTATTGCCACACATGCATTTTGAATATGAAAAGTTAAGTCCCTTGTAGTATGTTTATTGAGTTCTTATATAGAGTAAGAGTGCTTGATAAACATATTACGGGCGACATGCCACGTCTTACAGTGGGGTAAGGTGTGACATGTTCATACTCAATACAAATCATATCCACAATTATTTGCATTCCAATAATCCAACACTTTTAGTTCCTTTAACATTAAAGTTATAATCAATTCAGTTATTTGGGTCTTAACAGTGACTCAGAACAAATAGAAGCAGAATAGGTAACAGAACAGTGTCTGATAATAGTCAGACTAATACTGGCTAGTTAGCCTTTTAACAGTAGTTAGAAAGTTTTTCAGAAACAAAGTCAGTAGAGTGCATCCACTCGTCCTGAAGACACCTATGTGTCTGGCATATGATCATAGCGCAATCCTAATTCAATTTCATAGCATTCTTTATTTTCCGAAACAGATAACCATATTCTTACAACTACGCACCCAAGATCATAGTAAGAGTCCAGTAGTTTCATTTTAACCAATTCAGTTTATTTTCATTTCTAGATAATAACCATATTATCCAACATCAATCAATATTTAAAACAATTAAGCGTACCTAGTTGTATCCTGCTTAAAATTTATAAAAGCTCACAGGCCTTATATAAACGCAATCATACATGCTCATACAAGTATATAAGTATCAATCACATTTCAATTGGATAAATAACTCAAGCATCAAAATTGGATTCAATTCAATCATATCCCATTATTAATCATCACCATATATAGAGTTAAGTAAGTAAGCGTACTTGGTGCTTAACATTTAGCTTTCCAAAGTATACCACGAATTGCATTGTTACTCATACATGAATACATTCATTTAGTACTCATGTCTCATAAGAGTTCATAAAGTCAAGCAATACAACATAATATATAAACAAACTCAAATCATCATTTAACCATATACAACTTCATACAGACTAGCAACCTAACCTATTATATGCTTAACTCATAAAGGTCATAAAACAAAAATAACCAAAGATAAGCCCTAGTGAACATGGGTCAGCCAGTCGTAGCTCTCTAGGGTACATGCATTCTTTTCTAGGTTTTATTCATACATGCACTTAACATTAATACTCAATTGCATATAGGTACATTCAATCATACATGCACTTAACATTAATACTCAATTGCATATAGGTACATTCAATCATATGTTTAAGTGACATTTGAGCATAAATCCCCAATTAGGCATCATAAGTCATGGTAAAACCCAAATCATGTCTTACATACTCAATTCATGCATAAATAATTGATTAAATGACATATATTATCATATCCTAGCATATAGACATACAAGAAGTCAAACAATCATCAATGGATATTGGCCTAGGTTAAGCCACCTTTGGGAGTTAACCTTGCCCGAGTCTAATTCCTTTATTCTCAGATTCATTAATCTGCATTTACTGGCTCAGCCTCCTCTGGAAGCTAACCTTGCCCAAGTCTAATTCTTATATTCTAGGAGTCATTAATATGCGTTTATTGGTTCAGCCCCCTCTGGAGCTAACCTTGCCCGAGACTAATTCTCATGTTCTCAAAACCATTAATCTGCATTTACTGGTTCAGCCCCCTCTGGAGCTAACATTGTCCAAGTCTAATTCTCGTATTCTCAGAACCATTATTCTGCATTTTATTTAGGAAGCAACACTCTTACATTATTTCGTACCTTTTATACTACCAATTTAATTAACCATTTTAGCATAACTATCAAACAAGTCATTCAATTGCTACTCATACATGTTTCAAAAAAGCATTCAGCCTCCTCAACACTTAGGCAACACAATCACCAAATCATACCCATATTTCTATCAATCATCACTGCTAATAACATTAGGCCTACTTGCCCCAAATAACAAAACAAAAATCAAATACAATATATATATACACCCCATAGATTCGGTCAACATATGAAAATAGGGTAATGAACCAAATTCAATCAACCAACACACACAAGATCACATCATGATAACACCATAACATCATAAATAGGACAATTTGATCAAAAATTAACAAAAATACTCCTAACACATGACCTAAAGCAATCTGCCTCTTTAAGTTCATAGAGTTAGATTTTATTACTTTTCAATTGCTTCACTTCATAGCATCCTTACGTACGCAAATGCAATATTATCAATTCAATTCCAGTGATCATACAAAAAATAAGGAAAAACCCGCAAATTCCCTCACAGCAATCAAATAAATATCAATCAAAAATTAAAATAAGCATAAAGTTGAGGAGTATGAACCTCCAAACACACAATAGTAAGCTCAATTCGGAGATCAAATGTAACGCCCTTTAGTTGCTTTATTAAAGGCAACCATCAATTATTGAGCAACAATTTTTCCTTCTTCTTATCCTTACACGTCTCCTCCTTCTTCTTCTTCTTCTTCTTCTTCAATTCTTACTTACTAAACACATCAAATTCACCCCATCCAACTTGATTTAAGTAATTACAAACTTGATTTAAGTAATTAATTCTTAAAGAGTGAAGCTAGAGAAGTAATATTTTGGTGAGCTAATTTCAAGGAATTTGGTGATTTTCCTTCTTGGGTCAAGAAGTGATTTTATGATAATTTAAATTATTTTTTGGGTTTAGGAGTTTTCTTTTAGCATATACATGCTTAATCATGCTCCAATTACTTTTCTTTTATTTGTTTTCTTTGTTTGATTTTGAGTTTCTATACATTGTAGAGAGTGGGAGAGCCTCTAACAAAGATAAGGGAAGACCACCAAAGCTTGAGAAGCTTTTGATTAAAGCTTTTAAAGCTGTTTTGAAGGTTAGTGGTCATAAACACACTTACATTACTCTAAATTTTTGAATTTTGGTTTGTCTTTATCTATCATGTGTAATGTTTTGGATTTTGTATCGAAAATGATGATTTGTTTGGTTACAATAACATGCTCTTGGGTGATTTTTGATGAGTAGTTAGTATGTGGTAGAAACCTCTACCTTGTATCTATGTCTTTCATGTTCTTTTCATAGTCAAAGTAAGCTGAATTTGGGCAAAGGTGTTATTGGGTGAGATTAAAGACTATTTTTCGATCTTTTCTACTTACCATTTGTGTCTGAGTCCTTAATGAAAGATGTAGGTCTGCTTCTTAGCTTTCCAACCCATCTTCTTGTGTCCAATTTGAATAGATATAGCTCAACTTATGGCTAAACAACCCAAACTGACTGAAACACCCAAACTGACTTTGTTGTGTCGGGCCACATGCATCACTAAATTGAGTGCCCATTTTGACCACTATAATGACAAGATTAGGTTCTGAGAAATAACAAAAGCAATGTTTGATAAAAAGACTTAGAGAAGCAGAGCAATTTTAATGAAATTAATTGAATGGTTTTTTTTTATATATATCTGCTGCAAAAATACAGAGCTGTTTAAATAGAGGCAGGAACCTCTAATACAACTAACAAATCCCTAAAACAAAGCTAAAGAATTATTCAAATTAAATCTTAACAAACTGCCAGGTTAAGTGACTTGAGATAAGACCTCAACTCAGTCAAAGAACCTATAGCACAAGAATCTCTAGAACCAAATATATTCAGTTGGGAAGTGGAAAATACAAAAACAGCCTTATTACTCTAGAACCAAATATATTCAGTTGGGAAGTGGAAAATACAAAAACAGCCTTATTACTCCTCAACCACCTTATATCTCCTGTATTTTCTTCAACGGGTTGAATTGAAATATTGGACCACACTGTAACACCTTATACCAGTTGTGGTATGCTAACATCCCCCCTCAAACTTGGCCGAGGGCCGAGGTGAAGTTTGCTGTGGAATAATGCAAGGGCAGATTTGTGAATTGGACATGCTTGGTTACTAAATTTCCTTGTGCTACACGTTCTCTGACGAAGTGGTAGTCCAACTCGATGTGTTTACTTCTGGCATGAAAAACAGGATTTACTGTAAGGTAGAGAGCACTAAGATTATCACAAAACAATACTGAGGGACTTGTGAGAGGAATGGCAAAGTCTTTGAGCATATAAGTAAGCCAAGTCAATTCTGCAGCGGTGTGCGCCATGGCCCGATACTCAGCCTCAGTACTGGATCGGGAAACCGTGTGTTGTTTCTTGGCACACCACGAAATCAAGTTGCTGCCCAAAAAGGTGCAGTAGCCTGTAGTTGAACGACGCGTGACTGGACAACCAGCCCAATCAGCATTGGCAAATCCGTGAAGTTCCATGGTTGAGTGAGAAGTAAAATACAAGCCATGTGTTAACGTGCCCTTCACATAACGCATAATTCGATGCAGAAACTTCATGTGAACAACTGTGGGATCCTGCATAAATTGAGAAACAAAGTTGACAGCAAACGCAATATCTGGTCGGGTTAGTGTAGTTGACAGCAAACGCAATATCTGGTCGGGTTAGTGTCAAGTATTGCAAGGCACCAACAATACTTCTGTAGAGTGTTGCATCAACAGAAGCAGCAGCCTTGGTGACAGGTGGCTTAAGCTCTAATGGAGTCGTCATGGGCTTACTATCAAGCATGCCAAACCTGTCCAGTAAAGTCAGAGCATAATGAACCTGGTTTAAGTGTAAACCATCAGCAGTGTGTGTGACTTCAATGCCTAAAAAATGGTGCAACAGACCCAAATCTTTCATAGCAAACTCATGACATAATAATTGAACAAAATCATCAATTAATGCAGCAGAAGAACCTATAGCACAAGAATCTCTAGAACCAAATATATTCAGTTGGGAAGTGGAAAATACAAAAACAGCCTTATTACTCTTCAACCACCTTATATCTCCTGTATTTTCTTCAACAGGTTGAATTGAAATATTGGATCACACTTTAACACCTTATACCAGCTGTGGTTAACACTGAGTTCTTCATAAAAGTTGTTGTCCTGTGTCTTGAGACTTCCCCCATTCTGGATTGGTTTAATTTGAGTGTTTGGTTAAGTCGGAATTCAATAAACAATGGACTTGGTTCTGCTGAATCAGGTCTAGTCTGTTAGTCTGTGTTCCTAGCTTTGTTTTTCCTTAGCTTTGTTTTGTCAATCTTCCATATTGATCTGGCTGTTTGATCCCTTCATAAACATTTGTATAATTTTGTGTTCTTAACTTTCTAATTGACTCTGATTTTATTTAATTTGGGAGACCCATAACTCAACTTATGTTTTAAAAAACACACAAAGGTCAATGTTTACTTTTATAGCTGGAAATTTTTCTATGTTAAGTCATTTTGTTTAAATTATGAGAATTTTTTATAATTACTTGAGTTGAAAAATTAAGTTTTTATTATGCTTTTAAGAAAGACTTAAGAAAAATGAATTTTATGAGAAATGTTATGAAGTTAAGAATGAAAACCAAGAATTTTGGGCTCTAATTATACTTGGTGTGAATTTGATGCATGATTATGATTTTATTATTTGATTTTATTATGTATGATGAGCATGCTCGGCATTTGATGCCATTATGATCAGAAGCTATGATCATATGCTAGGCACGTGGGTGTCTTATGTAAGGGCGGACGCGCTCTATATGTTATGAAAAGGTTGGCGACCTAAGGCCATATGAATAAGCTATGAAAAATTATCTGCTTCTTTTTCTCCTAAGTGTATATGAGCCCTTGTAAAATATTTTTAAGAAAGTGAAGTAAATGAGATCACATTATGTTAATAATTCGTAGTTTACCATAACTTATTTATGATATCAAATGAATTTCTAAAGCATGATGTGTTGGTGTACATATGTAATGCATGTTCAAATTTAATGATTTTAATGATTTTATGTATATAAATGATTTTTAAGTATGTTTCAATCCACAACAATTGGTTTGTTGTGTTTTATGAGCACCATTGAGTTTTATACTATTGAGTTTTATACTCAGCGCGTTGATTTTATCACGCGCAAGTTGGAGACTGTGCTTGCTGCTTAAAGACCTGAAGAGTAACATCAGAGCTGAAGATGACATTTTGGTAGTTGATTAGTATTTTATGTAACTAAGAATTATGGCATATATAAGTATTACATTTTTGGAGACTGTATTATGTAATTTATAACTTAAGCATGTTATTGTAAGTTATTTTGGTGTGTATATTGGGAGATAAACTTGGAACTTATTTAATGGTTAGAACATTAGAAGTTGATATGTTTAAATGAATGTATTGAATTGATGAATATTAAAATGTTATTTTGGGAGTGCTTTGTATTCATATGTTTGGCAACTTCTAGTTTTAGGGGAAACTCTTGCAGTTTTTCTGTAGGACTCTCCCAAATCATTTTCACAACAAAATACTATTACTTGCTAAACTTGTGAATACTAAGTCACTTCTAATTCATACTGTGATTGTTTGATTTATATGTAGGTTAGGACGGTGCCTCCGGCACTGAATGTGGCATCCGGCGGCGGGTGTTACATCAAACCTTCCCTTTGCCCATATCAACTTTAGAAGGTTCACCCTTCTCTACGAGCATGCAATCACAAATGAAACGAAAACAAAACAATAATTAGAGAATTCAAATCTCTTAATTACACTGATTCTAAATATATATTCAGATTTGAAATACAACTTATAGATTTTGAAGTGGAAGTTACCTTTGTTTACGGAAGCCTCTTTGTGAATATAGTTTAATTGCACCAAAACCACTTGAACAATTCATTAACCACAACTTTAATTCACTCTCTTTTTGTTGTTAAATCTCAAGTTTTGTATTAAAAATCAAGAAAGTACAAGAAAAGCTCTCTATACGTCTTTTTTTTTTTCCTCTCTGGCGGCATCTCACCCTTGTGTAATTAATAAGAGGCTGCAGCCTCTTTAGGTTTTTAGTATATTATATACTTTTTTTTTTCTTTTTCCCCTATAACTGGCGTCCACCCATAGTAAAAAGCTAATAATAAATTAATTCTCCATTTTTATATTTTCCAATACCAATTATATATAAAATATCATTAAATCATATTTTGACAAATAATTATTAATAAGTACTAATAAATAATAATAATTAAAAATAATTATCAATAAATATTAATAAATCACATTGTGATAATTAAATTGTAATAGTTAATAATAATTACAAATAAATATTTATGAATACCCTTAATTATTTTAAAATACCAATTTAACCATTTCAATACCCAATAAATAGGGAAAAATCATATTAATTTAGGAAAAATATTCTAAAATCAAATTGACATCATTTTCAAATCCAATTTCAATTAACTTGGTGCAATTAGAACTATATCACATTAAGTTCTATAATTAAGCTTCCTAAGGTACAACTTCACTATTCGCAAATCCAAAATCATTTAATGCATGAATAAACAAACTAATAACATGTAATGCATGAATCACAATCAAAACTCCATAAGTATAAATAAGTTATTCGGATTGAAAATCATACCAAAATCCCAATTTGGTTACAATTTTAGTTTAATCGAGTAGGCTATATTCAATTAATTCCAAAAATTAGGGGCGTTGTACGAACTCTCTCCCCCTTGGTAAGTGAAATTGTCGTCCTCGATTTACATGAGGCAAATAATAACATGTAATGCATGAATCACAATCAAAACTCCATAAGTATAAATAAGTTATTCGGATTGAAAATCATACCAAAATCCCAATTTGGTACCAATTAGTAATCGAGTAAGCTATTATTCATAATTCCAGAAATTAGGGCGTTACAACTCTCCTCCCCTTAAGAAAATTTCGTCCTCGAAATTTACATGAGGCAAATAGCTGAGGATACTGAGCTCACATAATCTCCTCGGTCTCCCAAGTAGCCTTCTCGGTCTTATGATTCCTCCACAAGAACTTAACAAGAGGGACTCTCTTGTTTCTCAACTCTTTGACCTCTCTAGCTAAAATCTTCACTGGCTTCTCCTCATAAGTCAAATCTGGTTGGATACTAATTGACTTTGCTGCAACCACATGGGAAGGATCGGAACGGTATTTCCTCAACATCGACATATGGAAGACATTATGGATCTTATGAAGATCCGGAGGTAAAGCTAATCTGTAGGCCAATGGACCAATACAATCAATGATCTCATGTGGATCGATGAACCTAAAACTTAACTTATCCTTTTTACCAGATCTCAGAACTTTCTTCCATGGTGACACTTTCAAAAAACACTTTATCACCAGCAGCATACTCGACGTCTTTCTTCTTCAGACCAGCATAGGATTTCTAGCGATCAAACGGAGCCTTCAGCCTATCTCTGATAAGAATCACCTTCTCTTCTGTCTCTCGAAGCAAATTTGGTCCAACTATCTTGCCCTCACTGAGCTCGGACTAATAAAGTGGAGTCCTGCATCTCTTACCATGTAAAGGCTCAAACGGTGCCATACCAATACTTGACTGGTAACTGTTATTATAAGCAAACTCTGTCGATTTGATATACTTGTCCCAGCTACCCTTGAAATCAATCACACATGCTCTAAGCATACCCACTAAAATCTGTATCACTCGTTCTGACTGCCCATCTGTTTGCGGATGAAAAGCTGTACTAAAATGCAATTTAGTACCCATCGTGTCATACAACTTCTTCCAAAAACCTGGAAGTAAACCTTGGATCCCAATCAGATATAATGGACGAGGGAACACCATGCAATCGTACTATCTCATCAATATACAGTTATGCATACTACTCAAGAGAGAAATCAATCCTCACAGAAAGAAAACGATCTAACTTAGTCAAATGGACAACTACTACCCAAATGGCATCTTTCTTCCATGGAGTAAGTGGCAAACCAATCACAAAATCTATTGTTATTCTATCCCATTTCCACTCAGGAATCGAAATAGGATACATCAAACCTGATGGAACATGATGTTCTGCCTTCACCTGCTGACAAATCAGACACCTGGTCATAAAATCTGTAATCTCTCTCTTCATAATTGGCCACCAGTAATGCACTTTCAAGTCTTGGTACATCTTCTTACTACTTGGATGCACGACATACGGACTGCTATGGGCTTCTTTCATGATACTCTTCCTCAATTCTAGAATCTTCGATACATAGATCTGATCACCAAAGTACATACATCCATCTTCCTTAATCACAAAGCCTTTCTTCTTACAATCTTGAACCGGATCTTTCCACAAAGAAATCTTCTCATCATCAGTCTGAGCCTCCTGAATTTGCTGAATCAAAGTAGGCCTTACTTGCAACTCAGCCTCTAAAACTCCATCACTCGATATAGACAAATGTGCATTCATCGCTCGCAAGGCTACTAGAGATTTCTTGCTAAGAGCATCAGCAACCACATTTGCTTTACCTAGTCTGCCATCCTAGAAGCTAGCCAGGAGCTTTACTCTACCCGCCCTCTTAGGATCGTTTTGCATAAGGAGTCTTACTAGCATTTTTATATGGAATTCTATTCAAAATAAAACAAACATAATATAAAGCCTCTCCCCAAAAATTATTAGGCAAACCTGAACTAAGCAACATAGAATTTACCATATCCATTAAAGTCTTTTTCTTTCTTTCTACTATTCCATAAGATTGAGGTGAGTACAAAGGAGTTACTTGATGAATAATACCATGCATTTCACAAAATTCATTCATTTCATTAGATGTGAACTCATCTCCTCTATCAAAATGCAGAATTTTAATTTTCTTTTCTAGTTGATTTTCAACTTCTGCTTTATAAATTTTATTATCAAACAATTCGCTCTTGAAATTAATCAAGTAAACATAATAGAATTTTGAAAAGTCATCAATAAAAGTTATGAAATACCTTTTGCCACCACGAGTTAAAACACCATTAATATCACAAATATCACTGTGTATCATTTCTAATAATATGTTTCCCTTTCCATAAATTTGAAAGGCTTCCTAGGTTGTTTAGCTTGCACACATACTTGACATTTATCTGCTTTATCAATATGATGTTTAGGAATTAATTCTAAAGTCATCATCCTTTTAATAGTATCAAAGTTTACATGTCCAAGCCTATCATGCCAATGATTATTGCATTCAATAACAACAACAAATAAAGAAGAACTAGAAATCGAATTATTAGACAAAGATAATATATTTAATTTATATAATCCACTAACTAAATATCCTTTGCCTATAAATGTGCTATGTCTACTTATTACTGCTTTACCAGAGCCAAGAGTAATAATATAACCACATTGATATAATAAAGATGCACTTATTAAATTTTTCCTAATAGAAAGAGCATAAAAAACATTATTCAAGACAAACATATTTCCAGAAGACAATTTTAGTGTTATTTGGCCTTCTCCTAGGATTTCAGGTTTACTCTCATTATTCATACTCACAGTTCCTGCACTTGATGCCTAATACAAAGAAAAATATTTTCTATTAATGCATACATGAACATTAGCCCTAGAGTTTATCCACCAATCATTTGGGTTAAAAACCAAATTTAACTCTAGGCTAGAAACAAAGTGATAACTTGCAAATCCAATTTTCTTTTATTGTTATATTTGTGTTGATTTGGTGTCATTTTGTACTTAAAAGAGTGGTTTAACTTGATTTATTGTTTTTATGCTAGGAAAAGTTGGATTTGATATGAATGAATGTTTTGGAGCAAGAAAGAGCTGCTGGATTTGGAACACCAATGCATGCTGTTAGGTCTTAGCTTGGGCAAGACTTAACAGCGAAATTAGACAGCGGATGATTGTTGGAATTATTTGGCTGGTCGAAGTTCTTAACTATTCCAGCACGTTTTACAGCCACATGATGATATTAGACAAGTTTTTAGTGGTATTTTTTATGTATAGTGCCCCACCTTCGTAGGGGCTATCTTAGTCGAAATTAGGTCTTTTTGTGGATTCATCTTTTGCCTTCCTGTGTTGTGACGAATTGAGAGAATTTTTGAGGTTTTTGCCTAACTTTCATCCTTTAGATGTATGTTTTCTTCCTATAGCATTGTGCTAACGTTCTGTTCAGTTAGGCTAAACCAAGTAGAAGTTATATTCTCGATTGTGAGATTTATTGAATTAATAAATTGAATTTCTTTATTCTTCTAGTTGCATTTATATTTCTTTCGGTGATTATGAAATTATAGTCCTAGCTGATAGTAATTATATTGAATATTTACGGGTCCGTTTTTTATATGTGTTGTAGAATTTCCATAGTCTATTCGGCCGAATTAATCAAATCTGTATGTTTGGTTAGGTTACGTGCAAGTTAGTATTATTATAGTTAGGGTAGAGAATGTTTAGGTTGTATTAGAAAGAGATATAATCAGATTTAAATGGATCTCGTAAGTTTCTGTTAATTTCTGGGCAGGGTTTCTATTTAATTTTAAAGCGTAGTGACAGTAAATCTTCGTTTACTTTAGTTGTATATGTGCTAGATAAATTAGTGGTTGTATTATTAGACTTTCGTATCTTAGTAACTTGTTTTCTACTTTATGTTAGAATTGTTTGTGACGTTCTTTCTGGCTTAGATCTTGTCCTCTTGTAGTATGAATTAAAAGGGATATTAATCTTGAATCAATTGATCACTCGATCAATCTTCACCCTCGGTATGCTTGTGACTGCATCCTTGCTTGATATTTTCGTTCTATGTTCAGGTTCAATTTTTATTTTATTGCATATTTCTTTGATTAATTTTATTCGTTTGGTTATCGATATTAATTCCCTCGTTTCAATTATCATTTTTAATTTTATTTTCAGTTCTTGTTTATTTTCGACCCATGCTAATCCTATGGTTTCGACCTTCTCAATTTACAAGTTTTATTTTGTAGAGAGCGGTTAATTATTTTATTTGGCATTGGAGTTCGACGCCTGTAATTTTTTTGGCGCATTGCGTGGGATTATTTTACGTTTATGTTTGTTGTGTCCTTTTGATATGAGCCATAGTTGCCGGGGACTAGTTAACTTTACTGTTTGTTGTCTTTTTGAATGACCAGGTCTGAAAATTTGCCAATATTATTTGATCCTGAGATAGAGAAAACAGCCCGCTCACTAAGGAGACAAGCGAAGGAGCGAAAGTGGGCCGAATCGATTTCCGAAACTGAACCGAAAAGTCCAGCAGCTGGTCACCTTGATTTTACAGCTGAAACCGAAGAAGAAAGTCTTGAGCAGGAAGAGATTCTCACAGAAATTGACCAAGAGGAAGTTATGGCCGAAAACCGCACTGTTCGAGAGCTACAGGCTGCCCCTGTAGAGCAGCAGCCTATGTGTATTACTTACCCGGAGTTGGAAGCGCCATTTGAGCTTAAATCGGGTCTTATTCAGGTCTTATTTCATCAACTTCCCGACTTTCCCATGGAATGAAGACCGAAAACCCCGCATAAATCATTTAAGGAATTCCAATGGAGTTTGTTCTAGCAATGAAGACCGCAGGGGGTAACTGAAAGAGCAAATTAGTTGAGGGCATTCCGTTCCTCACTTAAAGATGCTGCTACAGGAGTGGTTGCTTAATCTAACCTCCAGGTTCCATCACTCACAATGGCCCTGATATGGCCCGATAAGCCATTCTTGGACAAGTATTTTCCGCTTCTTAGGGCAAGCCATCATAACGAAGAGAATTTGTGGGGTTTAGACAAAAGGCTGGAAGAGAGTCTTTAAATTGACTATTGGGAGAGAATTCAATGAAGTTATGTGCAGCTCTGCCCGAACATAGGATGGCTCTTGAGCAGTCCCTAATATAGTACTTTTTATGAAGGGATGCTTGAATGGAAAGGAAGATGGTTGATGTGCAGCTAGTGGGGGAGCACTTGTTAAATAAAAGACTCCAATTCGCAGCAAGAGAGATTATTTTCCACTATGGCCGCCAATTCACAACAAATTGGCCAAGTTTTCGATAAGAAACCCTCCAAGGAAGCTATATCAGGTATGGTGATTCTTCCCATTCAGTCTCAAACTGACCGAACTAACCTCTATTGTTAAATCTATTGCTGCAGGCAACCTGTGAAGAGAAGTGTGTGCGAGGTATGTTTGCCGATCACGCCAACTGACACAAATGTCCATCATGGTATAGTGAATCTAGAGCAAGGTTACACGCTATGGAGGATTCCGGGCAGCCCCACAAGACCGATGGGTAACACCTTCAATAATGCTTGAAGAATCATCCTAATCTTAAGCTATGGCAGCCAGCCCAAAATTTCCACGAGGAATACAACCAGCTAGAACCACTTCCTCAACAAGCTCTCCCCAAAATACCATTGGAAGATAATTGTGAGGTCCACTTGCCACTTCTCAAACAAGAATTCCAGCACCGAAACGAGAAAGGAGAATGCAGAATATGGAACAAACAAATTAAATCAACTTGCATCTTCCTTGAGTAGACTGGAAACACAAGGGAAGGCCTTCCGCTTCCTTCCCAAACGGTGGTAAACCCAAGGGAAAATGCAAGTGCGATCACTTTGAGGAGTGGTAAAGAGCTAAACACAGCAGCCCCTAAAAAAGGCAGCAGGAGTTCTAAGGAAGAAGCTGAAAAGGAGGTAGAAATTCACCGAAATAGGCCTTTCGAATAGGCTGAAGTACGGCAGCCCCAAACCTTTACTGTTCAGCCTCCTTTTCCCGAGAGATTGGCTAAAACAAGGAAGGAAAGTGAAGAGAAAGACATTTTGGAGACCTTTCGCAAGGTGGAGGTGAATATTCCATTGTTGGATGCTATATTAGCAAAATACCCAAAAAGTTTCTCAAGGAACTTTGTACCAACAAAAGGAAGGTAGATAGTGTTGAGAAGGTGGAGATGGGTGAAGTTTGCTCCGCCATGATTCAAAGAAAGAGGCTCCCACCAAAGTGTAAAGATCGAGGTATGTTTGCTATTCCTTATAAAATAGGCAATGTAGGGATTAAGAGATCTATGTGTGATTTAGGAGCTTCTATAAATGTCATACCTTTATCTGTTTACTCATCTTTCAAGGGTTGTCCCTTGAAAGAAACGCGTATTATTATTCAATTGGCAGACAGGTCTATAGTGTATCCCGTGGGATTGCTAGAAGATGTTTTGGTTCAGGTTGGTGATTTAATTTTTCCAGCACCAGCAGATTTTTATGTACTTAATATGGAGGATGATAAATCCTCGACTGTAGCTGATTTATTGCTTGGGAGACCTTTTCTCCGCACTGCAAGGACAAAAATTGATGCTTATGAAGGCACATTATCTATGGAGTTCATTATCTATGGAGTTCGATGGTGAGAAGGTCGAATTTAATGTTTATGAGGCTATGAAGTACCCTAGTGATGTGTCTAGTATTTGTTCTATTGATGTAATTGATCCTTTAGCACAAGAAATGTTTGAATTAAATGCCGTTGACGAGCTTGATTTAGTGCTTTGCAGGAATATTAATATGGACAGTATTAAAGAGATTGAGGAAACCTTCTTAGTTAATGAAAATGTACAGGAAATTCAGGAAATTGGTGTGCGAAGATTGGAGACAAATCAGCCCCTAACAAGCAGCCGCAGCCATATTGTTTTTGCCTTCTCACCATGAGAAGCTTTTACGCATCTGTTTTGCAAAGGCAACGCCAAGTCTAGAGTTGAAACCCTGCCCGGCGCCACTTAAATATGGCCATTTTTGGGGAAATGGAGACACATTGCCCTGTTATCATTCCAGCAAACTTAGTGAGGTTGAAGAAGAGAGCTTGGTTCAAGTTCTTAGGGAGTAATAAAAGAGGCCATAGGATGGGACAATAGCAGATATTAAGGGTTGAGTTCCACACACTTGTAATGCACAAGAATTCCTTCTAAGAGAAGGCAAGCAAAACCCACAAGAAGAAGCTCAAAGGAGGGTTGAATCCACCTATGGATGGAGTGGTGAAAGAAAGGAACCTACTGAAGTTTGTTAGATGCTGGTATGATTTAACCCCGATTTTCTGACAGCAATGGGTAAGCCCCTGTACAAGGTAGTGCTAAGAAGACAGGAATTACTGGTAGTGGGAGAATGCTGAAGGAGAGTTGGTTCCTACAAGAGTTTCAAACTGGGGTGGAGGATGTTGCATAGTTTAATAGGAAGTTTAAATGCAGCCACAAGAAAAGATCACTTCCCACTTCCATTTATTGACCAAATGTTGGAAAGATTAGGCTGGTCCGTTTCTCATTATTGTTTGTCTTGATGGTTTTTCAGGTTTCTTTTCAAATACCCCAGGGCACCCGCAAGACCACAGAGAAGATGACTTTTCAACTTTGCCCTTTTGGTACATTTGCTTATCGACGGATGCCGTTTCGGTCTTTGCAACGCACCAGCCAACATTTCCAAAGGTGTTGGTTAGTATATTTTTTAGATTTTTGCAGAGGAGATGTATTTGGAGGTATTTATGGATGATTTTACTGTCTATGGGTAATTATTTTGAATGAAAATGCTTAACTAACCTTACAAAAGTCTTAAAGAGGTTGTATAGAATCAAACCTAGTGCTAAATTATGAAAATGCCCTTTATGGTAAGACCAAAGGTTGATTCTAGGAAACACCTTGTTTCATGCAAGAGGGACACATTGTTTCATCAAGAGGCATTGAGGTTGACAAAGCTAAAATTGATGTAATTAAATCCTTACCTTACCCTGCAAGTGTGCGGGAGATTCGTTCTTTCCTTGGCCATGCAGGTTTCTACAGACGCTTTATTAAGGATTTTTCAAAGATAGCTCAATCGCTTTGCAAGCTTTTGCAAAAAGATGTGTCTTTTGTGTTCGATGAGGAGTGTAGAAAAGCGTTTGATATAAGCGTTTGATATGTTGAAGGAGAAGCTCATTTCTGCTCCAATAGTCCAACCACCGAATTGGAACTATCCTTTCGAGATTATGTGCGATGCGAGTAACTATGCTGTAGGGGCTGTTCTTGGACAGCGTGTTGAGAAGAATCCTCATGTCATATACTATGCATCAAGAACACTGGACAATGCCCAATGCAACTACTCTACCCAAGAGAAAGAGCTTTTGGCGATAGTGTTTGCTTTGGAAAAGTTCAGGTCGTATTTGCTAGGAACAAAGGTGATAGTTTTCTCTGACCATGCAGCATTGAGGTATTTGTTAAAGAAGAAGGATTCCAAGCCCCGTTTGATTCGTTGGATTCTTTTGCTTCAAGAGTTTGATATAAAGATAAGAGATAAAAAGGGGTCCGAGAATCTTATTGCTGATCACCTTAGCCGGTTGATTTTGAATGAAAAGCCGTCACCATTGGACGATGATTTTCCGGATGAGCAACTCTTTAGCTTCCAAAAAGTTGTTCCATGGTATGCTGATATAGTGAATTATTTAGTTGCAGGTATGCAGGGTAATTTCTAGAAAACTTAACTATGAGCTGCAAAAGATAAAATCAGAGAGATGCTAAGTCATGTTTGGGATGATCCATACTTTGGAACTTTTGTTCGTTTACCAGGTGATTAGAAGATGTGTTATGGATGTGGAAAGGCTGCCATCCATTCTGAATTCTGACCAATTCATCAGCTGTGGGAGGTCATTTTGGTCCGTCCTCAACGAACAGCTCGCAAGATTCTGGAGTGTGGACTTTTCTGGCCATCAATGTTTAAAGACTCGTACATTTATTGCAAATCTTGCGAAAATTGCCAAAAGACAGGTAATTTGAGTCGTAGAGATCAGATGCCCCTTACCTCTATTCTTATTTGTGAGATTTTTGATGTGTGGGGTATAGATTTTATGGGGCCATTCCCATCATCATTCGGGAACAGCTACATATTGTTGGCAATGGATTACGTGTCCAAATGGGTTGAAGCTAAGGCAACTCGGACTGATGATGCGAAGACAGTAGTGAATTTTGTCAAGAGCCATATCTTTTCTCGGCTTGGAATTTCAAGAGCAATTATAAGTGATCGAGGAACTCATTTCTGTAACAAGATTATGGAGAATCTGTTCAAGAAGTATGGTATTACGCATCGTGTCTCTACAGCCTACCACCCGCAGACAAGTGGATAAGCAGAAGTTTCGAATAGGGAAGTGAAGTCTGGAAAAAACTGTGAGTCCTAATAGAAAAGATTGGAGTGTCAGGCTGGACGACGCTTTATGGGCTTATGCTTATAGGACAGCGTATAAGACACCGATAGGAATGTCACCTTATCGCAGCTTATCGCTTAGTTTTTATGGCACCATGTCATTTGCCTGTCGAGTTGGAGCACCGCGCATTTTGGGCTATTCAGCGCTGCAAATATGCAGTATGGTGACAGCTGGTTGATACCGAAAATTTACAATTTGCAAGAGCTTGAGGAAAATTCGAATGAAGCTTATGAAAGCTCATGAATATACAGAGAAGACTAAAGGCTTTTCCATGGATGGCATGATATCCAGGAAGAGCTTTTGTAGTTGGTCAAAAAAGTTTCTATTTATTTCATTCTAAACTCAAAATTATTTCCTGGTTAAGTTAAGTCCAGATGACTGGTCCATTTGTTGTTACTAATGTTTTTGGCTCATGGTGCAAGTGGAAATTCAAACCGTCTAGAGACAATAAATTTTTAAGGTGATTTGGGCATCACGATTGAAAACCATTTTATGAAGGTTTTTGGAGCTATCGCATCGAGAATTTGAGGCTCGAAGAGCCAGGGGAATATAAGTTTGAATTAGCTCAGAACGTCTTAGCGGAGACGTAAATTCAAGTGCTTACTGGGGAGGCACCCAACATTTAGTTTTCTGTTTCAATTTTTTTTATATTTTTTTCTCTCTGAATTTTCACTTATTTTTTTTTCTTATTTATTTTTTTTTTTTTTGAAAAAAACGAACAAAAAATTAACCTGGGGACACTGTGTTTTTCTGGGTTCAAGAGTCTAGAGCAGAGCTTCTATGGGGTTTTTAAATGGCATGGTTAAAGTTGTTTTATTTTCTATTTTACTGTGTTCGTTGGGGTGAGTATAGAGAGTTTATTCGTTTTAGCAAGGGGGTATATATGCGTTGGCTGAATAAAAAAAATAAATTAATAACTAGTTATATTTGTGCAGCAACTATAAAGAAAACGAAAAAAAAAAGGAAGAGAGAATTGACCTAAGAGAACCCGACGGAAATTGCACAGCTCACAACTTCCTTGCCACCGTCCGATCAACCGCCGTCCGCATCTCCTTCCCTTTTCCGATCAGATTCAGTCGCCGATAACGCTACAGTCCGACGGAATTCTTGTTGCCATTCTTCAGAACTCCTGCCGTCGTTCAAGACTCTCAGCCAACGCAGATTTCATCCAAAGAGCGCCAACGATGCAACTCTTGCAACCCGTTCCATCACTCCGATCAAGACCTTAGCCCAACCCTACGTTACTCTACAGCGCGACGCAAAACCCCACAGCAGTGTCTTCCTTCCTCATCTGATTCCTATCCGTGCCAACTTCAGCAACAGGCCCATTTGCGAAAAAGAAAGTTATGCAGTCCGGTGACGAGGCTGCTGCCACTGTTGCCCCTGTTGTGCCGTCAACCACAACAGCTACAACTGATGTTCCCTCCACTTCAGTAGTGAGACAATTGAACATAGAAGTTAGATTGCAGAATTTGGAGCAAAGACAAACAGAAATGCCAGCCATGCTGCAGATCAACAATGATACTTCGCACTGAGGTTTGGTAGTGAATACTCCACAACAGGGCAGTTTCCTTAAACTTTACCTTTTATTTACATTTTAAGCCTTGAGTCCACGAATTTTTGTTTAAAATTGGAGTTGGAATTGTACTGAGTGGAGTTTGATTGCTGAATATTTGAGTTTGGGTTTAATTCCTATAGGCTTTTATTGACTTCAAATTCACGTGTTCAATGCGATTTGGGATAATTTATTGGGTTTAATAAAAAATTAGTATTCTGAATATGAGCTTTTAACTTAGAATCTGTTGTCATTGTTTTGATACTAAGTTTGCTTGCCTATTTTTGGCTATGTTGTTTTAATGCATGTTCAGTATTGAGAGTAATAGGTACAACATCAAAATCCCCATTGATTGAAATTGGCAGAAGTTGGTGGGATTGGAAATTTGCATGTTCAGTATTGGAAATTTGATTGATAGTTGAGCAAAGAATTGTTTATTAAGTTGAACTGATTTTGCTTTGCCTGGCTCTTTGCTTGGTTAACATCTTTGAGGTGATAGAAAGCTGAATTAACATTCTGCAGACTAAATAACACCATTTGCGGTTTGCATTTTTGTTCTTTTGTTTTTCGTTTGGTTGGTGTTTTTGTGTTTTTCAGTTGCATTTCAGGATGAGCCAGGAGCAATATTCTTAATGGCTAGAACAGGGCAGTTTCCTTCACAACAGGCAGTTTCCTTCAACCTTACCTTTTCATTTACATTTTAAGCCCTTGAGTCCACCTTGAGGACCAATGTGTGGAGTAGTGTGGGTGAGTGTGGGGAGGGGAATGTGACCATTTTTGCTGAATTTTTAATTTTATTGCTGAAACTGCTAATTTTGCTGGAATTTGTGCTTCAATTATGGATATATGTTGCTGCCATGTGCATATTTGGTATGAAACTTGACCGGTTTTGACTGTTTTGTAAAAATGCTCCTAAAGTTTTTATTTACCACTTATCCCATGAATATTTTGAGTAAATTTTTTTATTTCTGAGCTGCATTTGGGATTACTCTGGGACTTAATTGTGTCTTTAAACATGATTTAGAATTTATAGGATATCTAGAGAGGAGAACTTTGCTTTTGAAACTTGGTCTGACTGTTGTGAGAGCCCTAGACGATAAGACTTAGCGAGCGAAAACCATAACTTGATGAAATTGACCGTCATTGCACTCGTGAATCTTAGTTTAAATTGTTTACGCTTTGAATTCTCAAATCGGGTTTTTGAAACTTGGCCTCTTTTGATAAGTGTTTTTGAGAGCAATCGTCGAAGCAAAAAAAAAAAAAAAATTTAGGATAGGATAGCTTCCGAACACTAGAACTTTCTTCTACGTTCCCTTGAGGCGAAATCCTAGGTGAGTCTCGACTTTGGAAATGATCTAGGCATTCTTTGGCCGATTCATTAATCCCTTTTACGTTTTCCCACCTTGACGTCACCGTTCTTTTTACCCCTTCTAGCCTACGAAGCATGCTAAATGCGTGCTTCTAAACTCTTTTCATAACCCCCAATATAACCATATAACCCAAAAAGCTCTTTGCCTACCACCTTTGAACAAGGAAATAATTTTTTTTTAATCGTTATTGAGCATGCATTTTTAAGTTTCAAGTTTTGGCGTGAATGCACTTTTGTTTCGTGTTTATGTTTGTGTTTTGGAATAAATAATCATAGCGACTTATATGTAATTAGTCATTGTGATGTCGAAAAAGAGAAAAAAATTTCAAAAAAAAAAAAAGAAGAAAAAAAAGAGAAAAATAGAGAAGGCTGCAATGTTATGTTTTGTTTTGTGAAGTTGCATTTGTTGCCATCTAAACATTAAAGTTAATAACATGCATTGCTCTTTGAACCTAATGTGAAAGACTTATTTTCTTGTTATTCTCTAGCCTTACATTATCCTTTTCTTTTGTAACCATTACCCTAGCCTAACCCATACATAAGACCTAATGATACTTAGTTGAGACTTGTCCTACATTAGTGGAGAGGGAACCGCAAGGAGAGATTATGGTTGTTCATTATCTTGTTTTCTTGAAGCTATGAAAATGTATTTTATATGCTTTGATTATTGCTCGATAAAACATTTGTTGATTCAAGCTTCGTATGTGTGCGTGAGTGTTTTAAGAATTCTTAGTGTAACCTTTTTCGATTGAGTTCACGATGATTGGATGATTTTGACAGTTTGGTATCCAATTGCGATGTTGCGTTGTAACATCCCTTCCCGGTCCACCCGTTAACCCGAATGAACCAAACCGAGATGCTACAAACTGGTTGACTTTATGCCCTGTCATGCTGATATAATAATGGATACAGACTCTTATATCATGCTGATGCTGTTTATATTAATAATGTACTTAATATTTACAAGACATGATACTGAGGACAAGCATGGGATAAGTGTGGGGAAATTTGATAACTTGTAAATCCAATTTTCTTTTATTGTTATATTTGTGTTGATTTGGTGTCATTTTGTGCTTAAAAGAGTGGTTTAACTTGATTTATTGTTTTTATGCTAGGAAAAGTTGGTTGGATTTGATATGATGAAGCAAAAAAAGGAAGCACGAATTGAATGTTTTTGCGAGCAAGGAAGGAGCTGCTGGAATTTTGGAACAGCAAATGCAGCTGTTAGGCTCTTAGCTTCGGGCCAAGACCTAAGCTCAGGCAATCAGAACCAGATTATTGGCTGGTCACAACTTCTTCAACTAATTCCAGCACGTTTTACAGCCACATGATGATATTAGACACAGTTTTTAGTGGGTATTTTTATTGTATTAGTGGACCCCACCTTTTAGGGGCTATTTAAGTCGAAATTAGGTCTTTTTGTGGATCATCTTTTGCCTCCCTGGGGTTGTGACGAATTTGAGAGAATTTTTTGAGAGATTTTTGCCGAACTTTCAATCCTTTAGATGATGTTTTCTTCTATAGCCATGTGTGGCTAAACGTTCTGTTCAGTTAAGGCTAAACCAAGGTAGAAGTTTGATTTCGATTGTGAGATTATATTAAACTTAATTGAATTTCTTTATTCTATTGCATTTATATTCTTTCTGTGACTTATTGGGAAAATATATCCCCTAGCGAAATTTTATTGAATGATTTAACAGTTTAACAGGGCCGTTATAATTGTTTGGTAGAAATTTCCTATAGCTTATTCGGCGTATCAATCGTATTGTTTGGTTAGGTTGATGCAGTAGTAATTAATATATACGTATTGGGTAGAATTTTTTAGGTTGTATCTAAGAAAGAATATAATCAGATTTAAATGGATGCTCGTAGTTTCTGTTAATGTCGGCAGGGTTCTATAGATTTTTAAAAGCGGTTAACAGTTAAATTCCTTCGTCGTACTTGGAATTGCTAGTTAATTAGGGGTTGTTTAATTAGATCGTATCTTAGCACTATTCCTCGGTAGAATTGGGTTTTGGGTTTGACGTTCTTTCTGGCTATAACTTGTCCTGTAATATGAAATTAAGGAATTTATAATCTTGGAAAATCAATGATCAATCGAATCAAATCTTCGAACCGCCGGTATGCCTTGGCTTGAATTTACTATCAATTGTTCAGGTTCAATTTTTAATTTTATTGCATTTTTTCTTTGAATTTAATTTTAATTCCTTTAGTTTCGATTATTAAATTCTCGCCTCCCGTTTCCAATATCTATTTTTAAATTTTATTTTCAGTTTGGTTTATTTTTTCGACAAAGCTAATCCCTAGGGTTCGACCCTTCTCACCATATTTACAAGTTTTATTTTGTAGGAGAGCAGGTTAATTATTTTTGGCGGATTCGACGCCCGTCACAAAGTACCTGTGAGTTGAGGAAGGAGAGCTAGCTCCCATAGTCACCATATTAGCTTGAGGTTTTTGAATTACTTGTGTTTTAAATTGATAACCATGACCCAAACCCAATATTCTATAAACCCAATATTCTACACTCTTTTTCTGGTTAAAGCATGTTATTTCTAATATTGTGCTTAGAATAGCCCTCCATTATTTTTGAAAATCTTAAACTTCGGTTTGTTGGTTTTTTTCAATAACATGTCCCTTAGCTTGGAATTCAGGTTTTTTAGTTTGAATTTGAGAAAGATGATGCCTCTCTTCAATTCTCAAAGAAACATGTAATTCATCAAAGAGAAATTTTCAGGTTTTTGTTTCAAACTTCTAGCAAAATAAGAAGGTGGTAATTTTTTGATAAAAGATGTAACTAAAACAAAATCATGAAATGTAACACCTTTAACTTTAATATCAAAAATAAGATTTTCAATATCATAAATTTGATCAGAAACACCTTTTCCATCTACCATTTGAAAATCAAACCACTTTTCAATAGAGCATCTTTTTGGCTAAATATATAAATTTGCATCTCAACTTTGAAAAAATAACTCTACAACACCTTTAACTTTGCGGGGGTCCAATGATGCACCTCCAGTCCATTTTTTTTGCATCAGTCTTGCACCTTTCCACTCTAGCAGATGAGAGCATGAATACAATCGCCAATAGAAGGGTTAATTAAATTTATGAAGGCCAAAGTGGATAAATTTTGTCCAGTTTGGCTCTTAGCGGCTATCCTTTCAACAACACTTTGCAAATTATCAGTACCTTTTTTTATCTCCTGTTGGACAACCATACCCACGGAACCTCCTCCAACCACATTTTGGCCCAACTTCCTACTTGTCTTTATCCAACAACCATCACAAGTCTTCCTCACCATTAATTCTCTTTCAGTCTCTTTGTAAGACCAAAGCAAATATCATTTTCTCCAAATAGTTTATGTTTTTGAGGAAGAAATGCAGGTGAGTTATTGCAAGAAATGCAGGCGAGTTTGGCCTGCACGAGAGTTATTGCAAGAAAGAATTCTAACAAAGTTATTGCACTGCTTGAGTAGCAAAAATTAGCTCCCAGGAAAAAAGCAAAGCACCATATTCGGACTCTTCATATCTACATTAAAAAAAAGGTAGAATCATAACTTTTTCCTAAACAATGAATAGAGATGAATTTAATTCTTGAAGACTTTCTAAATTCAACAAAGATGGTAGTAATTGTATTAACACTGATTTAGAGCCAAACGGGTAATAACCAAAAACCAACAAAATGAAAAATTAATCTAAAAAAAAGCTACAAAAAAATTGAATTGACAAAATGGGCATCGATAAAAATATGAAAATTTGAAAGTTGAGTCTCCATTCATCAAGTTTTCAATCTTTGCTCTGGTAGCGACTTTGTGGGAATAACCGGTAAATTTGAGGAGGAATTTACCTTGAATTTGAGACTAATTCTCTATTTCTGCTGATGATGCATTTCAAAATAGATAAATTTAGCTGCTTTTTCCTTTATTCAATAGAGATCTCTTATTTGACGTTGATGGCATTTCCCAAGCTAAAAACTCGAAAGAATCGTCTCTCCTGCTGCTATTGAGAAAGTTGTTTGTGGAGCGTGACCATGCCTCATCGGTTTCATCTTCGGAAGCAGATGAACCGAAGGGACTATACTAATCTTGGAAAAGGAGAGCTGTTGCTGGAGATTTGCAAAAGTTGAGTCTTTAAAGTTGACTAGGATTGTTTAGCTAACATTATCAGTCAATTAAAATAGGCCCCATTTTCACTAAAGCTATCCCAGTCATTGCCACTGTAATTCGCGCACGTCTGCCAATGTGAAGAGATGCAAGACTGATTAAAAAAATGAATTTGAGGTGTATAATTGGTCTCTTATAAAGTTGGGATGCATAAGGTTATTTTTTGAAAGTTAAAGTGTAAATCTATGTATTGGGCCGCATCTTTTTAAATCTTTTTCTTCGGTGGCATATTTACATTCTAAAGCATTCCACAACTCAAGAGCATTTTTTGTATGGTAGAAAATACAATAATTATTATCAGATAAAGCACTTAAAATTCTATCATGACACAAAATATCTTTATCAGTAAAATCATCTTTTGTTCCAACAGATGGACCATAAGAAGGAACAATTTTATAGATTTTTTAGAAGATTCAAGAGACTCTTTTTGCTTGATTCCATTTAAAATCATAGGGAAAAGTCCTAACTCAGTAAGCCAAAATTTCATTTGTTGTTGCCCACAAAGAAAATTTTGACCAGAAAACTTTTCTAATTTACTAGACAAAAAATTCAACATATCAATGTAAAACAAGCAACAAACGTTTTCTCTCAAAGAATCTATATATCTATATAAAAGCTAAACAAAGAGAAAATTCAATAGGTTCTCTCTTTTCAGCTTTCTATTTTTCCTTTTTAGGAATTTTTAGAATTTTATCTTATTTATCTACAATTTGATTGGATATTAAATACATTTTCAAAGTATTTATAATTATTTTAATAAATATATGTGGATTATTATAAATTTGAAATTTTTATTTTCTTTTATCTTATTTAATTGCTATTTTAAGATAATTATGTTTAGATAATTACTAATTTTAAAATTCTTTTAACTTTTTCTATATCCTTATAAACATATCTATCTCCCATTTCTCTACATAGGGCTCTGTCTCCTTTCTCTCTATATAGGGCTCTCTCTCTCTCTCTCTCTCCTTTACTCGCCAATAGAAAATACATTCACCATCTCTCTCCCACTCTCCAAGGGATATACACATTCAACGCCTCTCTCCTACTCTTTAAACGAATGCACGTTCACCATAGTTCTCTCCTACTCTTCAATGGAATATACATTCACAGTCTGAGAGCATGACTTCATGACTTCAAGGTTCTTCATGAGTCCAAGGCTATTCAATTTGATTGCATTATCAGGCTATGAAGTATGTTGTAGCAAAAACACTGTAACATTAAGAATCACACTTTCAGGAATATGTCTTTGTGAAAAAACCATATAGTTGACTGTTAACATTATTAAACTGTCATCAATATCTCTTGCTTAACTTAGGTTTTGATTTCAATTTTAATTTCTTGAGAATCATAATCAGAACTAGCGGTATTTTAATTACATCTATTTCAATTTCAATTGATTTTGATCTCTTTGTTTCTAATACGTAATACTTATTTTATCCATCAGCATGTCTTAAAAGGGTTCAAGGCACTGTACAAAGAGTGGCTTTCAATGGGCTTGGCTCATGTGGAGATTAAAATAGGAAATTAGTTATGAACTTTTGGGCTTTGGATTGTTTTAATTATAGGACAATTAAAAAATCAATCGAGCTGTAGATCAATTTCGCTTAACTAGGTCTTAATTTTTATTTTTATTTTTATTTTAATTGAGAGAAATCTTAATTAGTTAAGAATGATAAGAAAACTTTAAACAATTTACTTTTATCCAATACAATATATAATCTATGAACTAACCGCTGGATGCAACGTTGGACCAAGAATCAGTTTGTCGACTTCAAATTATTTTATAATCTTTAATAAACATATTGGTGTATAAGTAACATATGGATTCGGTTATTTTTGAAAACTAACTGAAAAATTAAAATTTAATTAAGAATAAAAAAATTTTTTAATTTATAAGACTATTAAAGTATTTCGAATTACAAAAATTAAATATTTTGAAAATTTATTATTAAATATAAAAAATCATGAAAATAAAAATTTCAACCCTAAATAATTTTCGAATTTATTTGATTAACTTAAAGATAATTTGATCTTTAAAACTTTTAAAATTTTTATTTTTCAAATTTATATCTATCTATCTACTATCTCTTTTGGATAATTTATAAATCTTTTTTAAATTTTACTCTCTCTCTTCTTTTGATTAGGCATACTCAATTTATGTTTCATAATTGAAACTTAAATATCATTATAACTAATTTAATTATATTGATAAATGATTTATTATGTATTTCTTTCTTCATGACCTTTTTAATTAATTTCATTTATCTTTGTTTATTGAGTTATATATTTTCCTCATGTTTGTTGATTGAAATTTTGATTTATGCAAATGAATTAATTAACAATTTTGGACTAAATATACAAATTAATTATTATAATTCATAAGGTTTTATCTAAAACACTTTTGTTTATTTTTGTTCTTAGTTTGATATATTAAATAATTGTTATAATAATATATAAATATCTGCACACGAAGCACGATATCACGACTAGTGTTAGAAATAATGCTAGAAAGAACTCAACAAATAACAACTCAAACAATATGGTAAGCAACTCAACAATAAGAAAATAAGAACAAAAGAGAAAGAGTTTAGTGTAGCCTGTGGGTTTATGGATTGAAGCACACTAAATTTTATGTTGTCCTTGGAGAGAAAACAGCTCGTCTACATCGAGTGACCAATTAACTGCATCGAGTGACCAATTAACCACATCTTTTTCGCAAGATACTTCAATATGTTGGAGCTCTTGGTACAACTAAGAGTTCCCTGAACTAATAATTTTCAATGTTCAATAACTAAATATGTTTTTTCTATTTCTCTAATGAATTAGCAATAAAATAAAATAAAAAGTAGAGAGCAACAGTTTCTTTTTAAGAAAGCAAAAGTAGTATTACTTTTGTTGTGTGTTCATGAATTGAGAAAGGAGCTCTATTTATAGTGTTTACAAGAAACTAGTATTAGCTAAACTCAAGTAATAAGTTGAGATAAATCAACCACTCAACAATAAATAATAGCTTTAGAATATTAAGTGCTAGACTTTAGGAACCATCTTATTCTTCTAAAGTAAAATCATAACTTAATTTGACTTTTTATTTTTTATTTTTTATTTTTTTAATCAAATTCAAACAAATTTAAAATTTTAAATCAACATTCTAATGTCCTTTTTTGTCATTTTAATTCTAATAGCTAATCAAATGGTTTAATTTCACTCATTGTCCCTTAATTATACCTCATATTACATTGATGTACCAAAATTTCAATTTGTTATGCAAAAATATTAAAAGTTCATTTACGTTACAGTACCAAAATTTCAATTTGTTACGCAAAAATATCAAAGTTCAATTTACGTTACAGTAAAAGGCATTCGTCAGAATATCGGTTTGACATTAGATGGAAAGCTGATATAGACCACCAAAATATAAAAAGTAGCTTGGGAGAAATGTTCTTGGCATGGGAGAGAAATTAGTGAAAGTCTAATTTGACAAGGTGACGTGACTGCTTTTTATATTTTCAATGGTCTATGTCAGCTTTTCGTCCAATGTCAAACGGATATTTTGACAGATGCCTTTTATTGTAACATAAATTGAAGTTTTGATATTTTTGTGTAACAAATTGAAATTTTGGTACGTCAATGTAACATGAGGTATAACTGGAGGATGATGATTGAAATTTTAAGCCCTAATCAAATATTTATTTTTACTAAACACTTTTGCTTTATACCACTACATAAACAGCTACTGGCTAACAATTAACAGCTAACGGATATTAAAACAGTTAAAAGCTACTACCATAACTAACAATTACTATAATAGCTACTATTATCGAATAAACCCTTAATGTTCTCTTATGGTTTAACTTTTTTTGCCTTCTTATTTTCCTCCACATGCTATCTTAAGAGTGATGTTTCACTTTAGTTAGAATAAAAAATATTAATTCTATCTGATACATTTAAATCATATTGTACATGCATCATATGCACCTCAATTTTTTAACAAGTTACTTGATATACATATTTTAGACCTAAAAAAAAAAAAGACTATATAGCCGTGCAAAGCATGAGAGACCGTTTAGTTTTATGGTAAAAGGAAAACCAACTTATATAGTTTTTTTCCTTAAAATTAATTTTTCCATTTCATTAAAATTCATAATTTAATGGCACACAACGCTCCATAATAAAACTCTTATTTAATATGAAGATTCCTTAATTTCCTTAAAATTTTAATACATCCCTTAATTAAAATAAAATAAATTTCTTTTGATTATTAGTCTATTCAAGAAAAATATTTTAATTTTAAAGATTACTAATCTATTTCAATTTAATTAAGGAATGATTTCTTTATTTTCAAGTCGATAAAATTAAAAATTTTTTAACCAATAAAATTAAAAATTCTTTAAAAAATTTAATAAGAGTATTTTTGTCATTCTTATATTCCTCTCTCGCACACACACACTCTCTCTCTATATATATATAATTATTTTTGAATATAAAATATTAAAGACAAATAATATAGGATGACAATACCTCCCTTTTAAAGATCAGATACACAACTCAAGGTACGATATGTATTTTGAAAAATGGGTACTGACTAGTGATTTGCCAAAAAATGAGGGATTAGATAGTAATTCTCCCTAATTTAGTTAGAATTCCTCCCAAAATGGCATTTGGATTTGGGAGAATTACTATTTTATCCCTCGGTTTCAGTCAAATAGACTACTCGATCTTCATTTTTTCCAAATGACATGAATATATCCTTAACTTTTGCTTCTGACCAATACTTTAGTCATTTCACTTATTCTTTTAACCATTTTACCATAGTCAAAGCACTAGAATATAATTAAAGGAGAGATAAAATTTTTTATGGCTAAAAACCCTTCATCAACCTTCTTTGCTTCCAATAATAATGTATAATTTTCTATTTGAGTTATTAGTCATATTTCAACTCCAAATAATTATTTTTAATATTGTGAGGAGCTCTATACATATCTATTTTCAATTTTAATTTAAGGATGAATTTACTTTAATTTCAAAGTCGAGTAAATTACACTTACATATTGATTTCGTTTCACACCAATAAAATTAAAAAAAATTCTTTATAAATAATTATCTCTTCACACTAATTATGCTCACTTAGTTTGTTCACTTCTTATTATAATTACCACTCTCATCGCACACTATCACACTCTCTCTTCACTATATAATATATAATTAATTTTTGAAGTATAAAGTACTAGATAAAGACAAAGGATACGCAGTGCAAAACAATGTACCTCCCTTATTTAAAGATTCAGATACACACACTCAAGGTACGATATGGATAATATTTATGAAAAATCCGAGTACTAAGACTTAGTTGATATTGTCATGGATGCCTAATGAAAACTTCTGTTAAAGGGGATTTTTTGATAAGTATTTCTCTTCCACCATCACCTAATTTAGTATAGTAAGTTCACCTCAACAACTAAATTGGCCATTTGGAATATGGTGGAGAGATTTATACTATTGGTATGGAACATCGATTTAATTGGCCCTCGGTTTCAGTCAAATAGACTACTCGAATCTTCATTTTTTTTCCAAAATGACAGAGTCAATTATACCTACTTAACCTTTGGTTGCGTAATCGTGAATACTCAATTAGTCATTTTCTACTTATCTTTTTTATACCGTATTAAAGCCATAAGTCAAAGCACTAAGAAAATGAAGAATTTAAAGAGAGATAAAATGTTTTTTATTGTTATATAACGCACCTTTTACATTGCAACCCCTTCTTTGCTTTCTCTTCGCTTCTCTTCTTCACAGCCTTCACTTTTCATATCATTTCTCACCTAATCATTTTGGCACTTGCACTCTCTAACGTATAGCCAAAAAAAAAGAAAAAAATCACAACTATAAAGACGAAGGTGAGCTGTAGAGTGAAGAGCTATTATAGTAGGGTGAAATTTAAGTCGATTGTTCTATTTTGGTAATTTAAGATTAAGTTTACCCTTTATTAACCGACATTTCTCAAATCTCTGAGATGGAAAAAAATTCAATGATATGCTCAATCTTTGTCTTATGGCCATGAGCAACTTTTCACTCAAATCTCGCTCGGTTTCCATATCATATGCAACCCAGACAATAAAAAAAAAAAAAAATCCAAACAAGGCATTAGAGTGAGAGTTATATTAGAGGTGAAATTAAGCGAGCAATTGAAAGAAAAAGTTACCTAAACGAATTCCAATTTGAGATTGAAAATTCAATGATATGCTCAATCTTTGTTATACATGAGCAAAACTTTATCAATCTCGCTCGGTTCCATATCGATATGCAACCCAGACAATAAAAGCTTTGCTTAGATTGACTACTGATGTCTCTGCTCAATGCCGAGTAGAGAGTCTTGAGGACCCATATCTCAAATCTGGGTTATTCAGGTAGGGTGGAACCAATGAGTCGTTTCAATGGATAGTTGTTGGAGTTGAGAGGTTTTGAAATCAGAGGGTCATTTTCAATTTGCTTTTGATTTCAATACAAACTTTTTAATTTCATTTTTTGAATTTCTTTGCTTCATCTTGTCTCCCATAAAGAGAAAACGATTTTGTTCACTTCATTCAATTTTCTTAAAAATAGTTATTTGGTTCAGATTTGAAGAAAGAAAAATAAACAAGAAGAAAGATGTAATTTGATTGAGAAAGGAATCTATAATTCTAATTCTTATTTGTATCTATCTTGCATTTTCTCCTGTTTCTCTCTGTATTTTTTTGTTTTTGAATTGGCTCTCTGTATTTTCATTACCATATGATACTATAATAGCTTATAGCTAAACAAATTTTAAAACATTATAATAGCTTCGTCCATAAAATTTCATCTCAAAATTATAGCCTTTTGTATTCTTAAAGATTTTGAATTTTTTTTCATATAAGGTCTATGTTTTTTTTTTTCCCTTTTTTTCTTAGATGAAATAAGGGGCATTTTTGACTTTTTAATATAAACTAATGGTAAATCTTCTTAAAATAGATGGAGGGACTAAAGTATTGGATGAGAGTAAAAATTAAGAATGTAATAATGTATTTAGAGAAAAGTGAGGACCACGTAGTGCATTTGACCAAACTTTAAGGGACAAAATAATAATTCTCCCTTTGGGTTTTGCTACACCAACGCCAAGCAAGCAATTATGTGCAGGTGGCTGTATCTAAAAACTATACTAAAACTCTTTTCTTTTCGTCCGAAAAAACAAACAAGCAGAGCCAGAAAATGGCCCTCTCAATCTCCGCATATCAACTCAATAAACTCTCCTTCTTCTTCTCTTTTAAATCTCACCATCCCGCCAGACTCTCTATCTCAAACCCTAAAATCAGCTTACCAGTGCTACCCATTAGCCAAGCCACAAGGTCTCAGACTGGTCCACTTAAGAAACGGTCCTCTGCTTCTACTCCTTCTTCAGCCTCCACCGGCAAGAAGAAGAAGAAAAAGGGCAAAAGTGACGCCCCTAATCATTTGAGGGATGTTCAAATCATTAAAGCTGATGATAATATTGATAATGATTCATATTCATATTCAAATTCGAGGTCATTGCCTTATCATCCAAACACGCCACTGCCAAAGGCGCCTGCGGGATTCGTGGTAGATGAAACTGGAAGGGTTCTCATGGCTTCTAACAAGCGGATTGCTACTCTTGTGAGTCATTTTTCCTATTCTGTTTGCTTCAGTTTTGTGGGTTTTCCTCTTTCTAGTGTCCAATTGTGAGCGAAAGATTGATACTATTTTCTTTTAATATATTCCTTATTTAAAGTCTATGCACAATTATTTTTGAAAGGTTTGCTTGTTCTGTATTTATTGTTGGATACAATTTTCTTACTTTTGAAGTTTGAAGAAATTTCTTACTGGCAAAACTGTTTAAATCGAATTTTATCTGGTGGATGAACTTTTTTCTTGTCAAGTAAAAAAACGTCTGATTATTATACATAACTTTATAAAAAGGCAGGATGGCATACTTTGTAGTTAAGAATGGTTTATGTCATTACACGTGTGCCTGCACATGTACATTGTGAGCAAGCATGATAAGCTTATGGAATGGAAGTTGTTTTTCCTTTGTTTTTTCTAGGATCAATTGGATGTTGGAGTCGTAGAAGACTCAAGGGTTTCAAAAATAGGGTTGAATTGGATGAAGTAAAAGTTTTGCAAAATGATCAATTTGGGTTCTGTCATGCAAAAGAATGAAGAGTGTTTAGGAATGTAGTTGAAGGATCAACAACAAGAACTTTGAAAAGGGAGGTGCCACAAATGTTTTAGGTGATCCCAAAATCCTTACCAAATTTTGAGTGAAGTTCTAAAATATTACTCCTTCTATCCCAAAAAGATAGTCCACTTTCTTTTTTCACACATTAAGAAATGGAAAAGATAGTCCACTTTCTTTTTTCACACATTAAGAAATGGAAGTTATTATGGTTAGTGAATAATTTTGTTACTATAAGTTTCCTTTTATATCCACTTAAATAACACGAGCAAATATTTGTATTGAGATGATAAAAACCATATTGATAATATAAATCGGTAAATATAAATTTTAGTTAATGAGAATGACTAACATTGATGACTTTTTAAAATTCAAGAGGAAAAAAAGAAGAATAAAACTACTTATTAAATAACATATGAATTTCAAGTAGAGCTGACTTGGGAAAAGTAAAGAATTAATAAGGATTATTGAAAATAAAATAAAACTTAATAAGCATATAATAAACAATTTAAAGATTAACTATAATGTAAAAAAGGTAAGTGGACTATATTTTGGGATAGACCAAAATGGAAAGATGAACTATCTTTTTGGGATGGAGGGAGTACTATTTTTCCGGCCATAATCAAATGGTATTGGTATTGGGTAGTGAAGAATGTCATCTCGATAAAGCATGGATGGTGAATGCATAATGTGGAATTTGTTACTTTCGTGTTACAAGTGTAATGAAGATGGGAGGTGGATAACTCAAATAAAGATGTAAAGTGGTTAAGAAGGATTTGGAATTGCTAGGCTTTATTGGAAAGCATAGTAAATTGGTTGCAATAGAGGAAAAAAGAAAAATCCACATAGTAGACCAATTAGATTGGAGTGAAAATTGAGTTGTGTTCATTTAATAAAAAATAAGTCGACAAACATAACAAAGTTGATGTTTATTTGTTTTTGACTTATGACCATTTAAATTGTGAAATAAACTAAGTAAACACTTTCAATGGATTTAGGGTTGTTAAAAGTCAGTTTGATAATATTAGAGATTCCTTGTTTGTACCTATAGTTATTTGCTATTTGCTCTTTCTTTATGATTGTATACTCTTTATTGTTTACATACCAGTGATTTGTTCTTGTAACTAATCTAAGAAACTCATATAGACCACTTTGACTTCTTAGTTGTTCATAGAAATGAGAACAGTGGAAACCTCCCCTTTGAACTCTTTTGAGATAACTAAATCCAGATGCTTAATGATCAATTTTTCGAAGTTTATCCTAAGCTTTTGTTTTATCGCCTACTTTGTTGGCTTAATTGCAATTATACCGTAGGTATGCTTGGGTTGCTTGATAAAAATCTCTCTCCTAATTGGCATTAATGCTAGCTTAAAAAATTAAAATCATCATTCCTATGAACTCACCTAACTCACTTGGATTAGCTTTGAGTTAAATTACCCCCTGAAATGTTAAATTTCTCAATAGTTATCCCAAACCTTAATGGATTTATTGAGCGCGCAAGACCCACCATTTTAATATTTAAGCTAGTATAGATGCTAACAAGGAGAGAGAGGGTTTACTAGGCAACCCAAATGAATATGATAGAGTAAGGAAATAAACAAACAGAAGATCAAAGAATTCTAGAATGGGTATGAGAAGAAGAAATCTGTATTTCAATTCAGAATCAAGTGTTACAGGTTACAATCTTCAGATATTAAAAATGAAGAAGAAAAGAAATAGAAACTAGAACAAAAGGGAAAATTCTTGAATTTATATTAAAGCTGTAATAGATGCTAAACAAGAGAGAGAGGAGTTTTACTGGCAACCCAAATGAATGATTAGAGTAAAGGAAAAAACAAACAGAAAGAATCAAAGGAAATTCTAGAATGGGTTATGAGAGAAAAATCTGTATTTCAATTCAGAATCAAGTGTTACAGGTTACAATCTCAGATCTTAAAAATGAACGAAAGAAAGAAATAGAAACTAGAACAAAGGGAAAAATTCTTGAACCTAAGAATCAAGGCCAAGAGCCCCTTCAGTAAGCCTCTCCATCAAACAAATGGAAAAAGGAATATTTTCCAACAGATGCCTTCCCTCTTTGCCCTCTGCTGTAACTAGTAATTCACGAATCACCCCCTTGTTTTTAACTGAAAATTGGGAGAGGTGTCCCCAATCCATTGGGTGGTGGCTGAATGTTTCTTTCCTTATTCCCAAGGCAGCAAATCCCCAGTTTGATCTTGGGCCCTATTCTTTGGACCTTTCTGGAATATACGCCTTTAACGGCTTAGGCTGGTCCCCCCATCAGAATAGAATATAAAAAAGTCTCAAAGTTAGGGGAAAATTGATCAATTTCAAGTCTAAAATATGCTGTACTATATTCACGATCACCCCCTTGTTTTTAACTGAATTTGGAGAGGTGTCCCAATCATTGGTGTGGCTGATGTTTCTCCCTTAATTCCCAAGGCAGCAATCCCCATGATCTTGGGCCCTTCTTTGGACCTTCTGGAATATACCCTTAACGGCTTAGGCTGGTCCATCAGAATAGAATATAAAAAAGTCTCAAAGTTTAGGGTAAAATTGATCATTAATCTAAAATAAATAAATTGACAAACATGCTTAATGACGTGTAATAAAATACAAGCTTTTGATTTCTTAGCTATGTTTATTAAATTCGTATCCTAAACATTTCAAAATTTTGGGAAGTATCTACATCCAACACTATTCTAATTGTGGTGTGGTAGAGAAACTATTCAGTGGTTACTTGAGCATGATTGGCAACCAATAGTTTTGAAAGATTCAAGGCTAAGGTTGATTTTTTCTCAAATTGCATTGCACAAATTGAGTTGTTAACAGAGATAGAAGTAGAGAGAGAAAAACTTGTTACATCCTTTTTTATTAACTAATAATGTGACATAGGCAATGTTTTGCATGCTTCACTCCCTTGAGAGTGTGTTATAACATGCAGTTGGTGAATTGTCAAAAAGTGGTTAATGTGTACAAAATTTAAAAGATTATGTTTGCAATAGTTTCCTCAATTAGTTTAGGCCGCCAGACAGTAAAAATGGTAAAGTTGAATGATAAGTTCATGCTTTTGACTATTTGGATAGACATGAATCTCAAATTTCTTAAACCTGGTAGCTTGTTAAATTGCATCTTCAAGGTTAAATTGCCCTTTGCTTTTTATTGAGAATCTGGGCCCTAGGAGCAATTAATCAAATTCAATTAACAATGTATTTAATATTTGAGCTTATAATGAGTTTGAATAACCTTTAATACAAAACGGCCTAAGCCATTTTGGTTGGTTCAACTTCCTCATTATATGCCATTTACCCAATTTATATCTATCCAATGTGGGATTATCCACATACTTCAACACTTTGAATTTCTGGTCTATACCCTTTGTAGTCAAGAAGTAATGAGTCTTGTATCTTCTAATGTAACACTTCTTCTTCAGCTTATTGATTTTCCCAGGTGTAGTGAATAATGAACCTATCTTGTTCCAAACCATACTGAACTGAAACCAAGAGCCTTATAACAAATTCGTATTTTACATATTAGGGATAAGTTTTCTAGAACTCGGTAATTGGGGTTTAAAAGATTAGCTTAGAAGAATCTTTTTTCTTTTGATAAGATAGTGAAAAATGAAACAAGAAAAAATGCCTACAACTGAAATAAATAAAGCATTACTATCATAAGTATTTCTAGACATAGTAAGTATTATACACTTAATTATATATAAAATAAGTCTAAGCCTGCATATGTCAACTCCTAATCCTCACAGGGCTTGAAAGGCGGGAATAAAACTGACTACATATGTAATACAGCAGTGGGAGAGAAGGGAAATATTTGGGAAGATGATGTATAATTTATTTGCGAATCAAAGACATGTCCTTTCTTTCCATCAAATGGTTTGCAACCTTCTAAAGGATACTTGTAATTAATTAATTATGGGTTTGAATCTTAGAGCCTGTAAAAAGTATTAATCTTTTAATTGATGATTACTAAGTTATGTCCCATTGTATTTTGTTAACCTTGGTTGTTAGTGGGTTACGTGTCTTGTGCTTAAGTTACTTGTGTATTTAATCTTCTTGTATTTTGGTTGATCCATTTATCTCAATAGTTGGATCTTAAGACATATTGGTTATCAAATGTGTAACATGTCTCATATTTGTATTACTTGTCTATTTAATCTTCTTGTACTTCAGTTCCATTTATTTCAGTAGTTCTATCTTAACACAACACAAGCGTGACATGGTGATATGAACTACCATCATTGCCTCTTAGATGCTACTTTTAGGTTAACAATAATAATAATAATATTTTGCCAATTGGGAGGAATAACATGTGGTTATATTTTGATATGTTTCATATGTATTGAATCTCAGTGTTATATTCTACAATTTCTTATATAGTTAGCATGAGGGGAAGCAAGCAAAGTTAACGCATGATTTTGATCTGTTTAAGTCATGGCTTCTCTACCTTTTTGCTAACATGGTATCAGAGCTTAAATGTTCTTTGAAGGCCGTGGCTATGAGAAAATAAGTGATTGAGAGAAAATAGTAAGATTCCCCCCTAAAAAAATCTGAAATGGCTTCAAGTAGTTTTTCTCCTCCATCTCCTGTTTTCACTGGTAAAAAATTACCAAATCTGGCATGTGAAGATGCATGTAAAAGCCTTTGATTTGTTGGAACCTGTGGAAATTTGTGCAGATCCCTTTATCTCTTGTGAGGAAATCCCATAGTTGCTTATTCACTCAATTTTGTCTAGTGAGATTATCAAAGTGTTATACTTGTGAAATAGCTAAGGAGGCTTGGAAAAAGATTAAGGAGTTCCAAGATAGTAAGGCAATTTTTTAATTTAAGAGAGCTTGAGATGCTTAGGATGAAAGATTAATAATCTGTTGAAGAACATTTTGACATATGGATAGTCAACAAAATCAGACTTCTTTGTTGAAGATTTGAGAGGTAGAAGGGTTGTGAAAAAGGTGTTGGTCACCCTGCCTGAAATGTTAGAGGCAAAACTCCTGATTAAGAAGAATCTAAGGTCTTGAACAATCTCACCTTATAAGAGCTAGTGCAAGCTTTGCAAGCACAAGAGCATAGAAGATACCAAAGAGAGGAGTCCTACGAAGGAGCATGTTTTCCTAGATAGAAAAAGAAAGTAGAGAAGGTGATTGTGGCAAAATTGAAGACAAGAAAGGAAGATTTATCCTTATTCTTATTGTGAAAGAACTAATCGTCATTAAAGCAAATGCTGGGAAAAAGGGCAATATAGGCATTGCAATAAATATGGTCACAGTGAGAAATTTTTGCAAGATTAAAGATGAGAGCTGCAACCCCCTACTCAGCAAGTCAATTTTATTGAAGATCAACATCAAGTTGATGATAATTGATTCACAGCGTCGCAAATTCCTTAACAAATTGACAAGCATATTTGGTTTCTTGATTGTTCATTTTTTAGGTAAAAGTACAAAACAAGAGTGAATCTAACTAATGGGGAAGTGGTTGAAGCTTATCAAGGAGGTTCTATTGCTGTGAAGACAATGAAAGATATTAAAGTTATTATTGATGTCCTGTTGATACCTAGCTTAGTTCAAAATTTGCTGAGTTCAAGGTTATTCTAGTTTTTAAGAACAACTCCTGCACTATTTTTGACCCAAATGAGTGTGAGATGGCTTGTGTCTAGATGGTTGATCAGAGTTCTCCTTTTGAACTTTGATTCTGCCAATCGAAGTGTCAGTGATTTTGAAGTGCATAATAATTCTATGATAATGAAAAATGAGTACAATGAAGAAGAAACCAAAATTAAGGCATGGAGATACAAATGCAGGTCCTGTGGTCCCTGGAAATTCAGAAAAAAATCTTAAAAAAACCATCTTCAGTTGTTCCTGATTAAAATAAGTTCTCTCTTCATTAACAAGATGGTGAAACCAAATTCTTGTAAGAAAAGTGTAATTTTTCCATGTTTGAATCCAATGATTATGAAAAAGATTCAAGAATCAGTGTTTGGCAGAGAGCTTTGGTGATAAAGTTCTGATGACCAAATAAAAAAAAAAGGAAAATAATTTGAATATCAAGTTGGAGTACTGTGATTCTAAGAAGCAGTCATCTGACATATTAACGAGTCGCTTCCAGAGGCTAGATCTTAAATTTTAAAGCTATGCTTGGTTGGGAGCATGGAAAGGAGGAAGGAAATGAATTTAGGTGTTTGTCATTAAGGGTGTAAATGAGTCGAGCCGAGCTTGAACTTGCCAGGCTCAAAGCTCGGCTTGGTAGAATTTAGTTAGGCTCGAGCTCAGATTGAAACTAGATGGGCTTGAAAGATTTAGGCTCGAGCCTGGCTCGATGAAAGCTCGAGCTCGACTTGGGGCTCGAGTTCAGCTCGAAAAATTTTGAGCTCGAGTTCGGCTCGAGTACGCCTAAAATAAATATTATATAAATGTGTATATATGAAAGCTTGATAAGGCTCGACGGGTTTTCTAGCTGAACATCATTGGACTGAAGCTCAACTCGTTTGCTAAGTAAGCCGGCTCGAGCTCGATTCAAGCTTTTTCGAATTCTTTTCAAGCCGAGCTCTAATATATCGCGAGCCGGCTTGGCTCATTTACACCCTGTTTGTCATATCTAAATACATCCCTCCAAACTGTATCTAGACTGGAAAAAAGTCTGAATTCATTTTCTTTCTTCCATCTACCCTCCCAATCAAACCTAGCATAAGGGAAATGCTTGGATTATCAAAGAAAATTCTCAAGGAGTGTTGATTGTTAAGTGTTAATTTGGTTATGCAGATTCAATTTATTGTATTTGTTTGTGAATATTATATTTTACTTCTGAATTTTCTTTCTAGTTATTTTTGCACCTCTCCTTGCTTGGCGCTCTCCTGCACCTGGTGCCTTGCGCATATAGCATGCTTTGCACCTTTAATAACTGTGTTCTTGCAAAGTAACCTGCCAGTTTTCTTCTTTCTTTTTGTTCTTTTCATTCATGAGTTCAAAATCCTAAAATAGTATTGACAGGTTGATTCCTCCAATAATTATCCATTAGAGTGCATTATAAGGAGAGTATTTAGAAGTTCAAATGGGAATGAATGCATGCTGCTGTGCCCAGTAGACACGTAAGTAGTTCTGTCCCAATGTGGAAATGTGATTTTAAATATATTGAATGAATATTTTATTTCATTCTTTCAATTTGTGATACTCATTGTTGCAGGCCTGTGCAGATACTAAAGAGTACGAATATTGATGGGTGGTCAGCTGTATGTTTCTCTGGCCCTTAACGCTCCAGTATAAAATATTCCTTGGTTATTATCTTTATGGACACATGTTATTATTAAATATTTAATTTTAAATTCTGCCTGTCACAGTTGACTCCATAAAATGTTTCTTACTGTTGTATGGCCCTAGATTCTGGATATCAATTTTGTCTGTGATTCTTCTATTTTCTTCTTCTTTTAGTATTTTTCTCCTTGGACTTGATAAATACCTGAGTTAGAATCTTACTTTTGTTTGTTTTCTTCTTTCCCTAAGTTGCATTGAGGGGAAATGTGGGAATGGGAAGGAGAATTGATGGGATAACAGTTTTTATTTTTCTCTAGAGAAGAATATTTAGTACAATATCCATATATAACTGCATTTAAATAAAGCCATTCTGTTATCTAGCAATGTGCAACGCCGGATTGAAAATCTCTCAGAATGGTTGTTACACTCAAAAGATGCCTGTAAGTTTGATTAACTCACATCCCACCTGCACTTTCTTTCCCAACTTCTGCTTGTGGTCCTGAATTTTTGCCTAAAGCACTACAAATAGCTCGCAGTATCTACCAAGTTTTGACTTCAACACAAGATAAGAGTCATCAAACTCTTTTGGGCATTCTTTTTTACCCTTTTTGGTGTAAGTTGTATTCATTAAATTAAGGGCATAATCCTATTAGTTCTTCAGGGGAACTTGAACTATGCATTATTATTACTTGCATTTATTAGATAATTCTGCAGATATATGTTTGGAAACTATTTTTTGTTCTCAGAAATAACGCATGTCTGTTATGCTTGCTGTCAATGACGTCACTTCAACAACTACAAACGCAATGTAAAGGATCAAATGCGGAATAACAAAATTGAAAGAATTCAAACACCATTGATTTGAAAGCTAATAGAATAAAAAGATTCAAATACAAGCATGACCCAATTATTAAATGGGTAACATGACATGCCACAATAATATGACTTGGAATGCACATCCACTAATTAAAAGGCCTATTTGCACTAGACAAAAAAGAAAAAAATTGTTTGGTACCTATTACAAAACATGCTGAAGTCATGGCTTGAAGGAAATAATGTCCTTTCATGATTTTGTATAAAGGAAAGGACTCCTTTCTATTTTTATAGATGATCTCCATCTTTTGTACTCCTTAATGATATGGGGTTTCATTCACTTTCATGTTAAGTGATTCATTCTTTTTTACTCTTGTCCTCTAACCAAAAGAAATGGGGGTGTTAGTTTAGTGGTTAACCAATTTAGCCTCCTTTCTCTTCCCTTTCTCATCACACTTTCAAAATCTCAATTTGTCTGTTGTAAGAATAGTGTCGCTGGTTGTAGTTGTCAAAATGTTTAAGTTTGACAGGACTTTTATGATAGATGTGTCTCTTGAATTTGAAATAATGCCACTAGTAGACACATTAGTTACTAGAACTACCATTGGGAACTTTGGGTGGTAATTAGTAGATGTTGTATACGCATTTGTGGACTTATAGATAGTTTCCAAGTTATAACTTTTTGTTATAGCGAGTAGTTCTACAGATGGTTTCAGTGTCAAAAAAAAAAAAAAAAATCAGAAATTTTGGCTTCCTACTTTCCATCCTATGTGGTATGAATGAGAACTATATTGTATTTGAAAAATGAGCTTTATGATTAGGTGTCGAGGAAATTGAAAGCATTTGAAACATAGATGTCACCACTTGTCTGGTTGTATCATCAGAGAGGTGATCATAAAGTAAAAAATTACAAATGTTACTTGCGTTGCCTTGGGATTTTGTACTACCCATTCTAGTTGTTAATTGGTTCAAATTTCATTATACATTTTAAACTTTTCTACAAGCATTAGGAATTTGATTTAAAGAAAAATGATGCTTGAAAAATATATCTTCCATTCTGAGGATATGTGCATGTGTGCATCTTGAGATTTTTGCCACTGTATCCATCCTCAGGAGCAAAATTTTGATAAAATTTGTAAATGTTTTGAGGTTTGAAGGGAGTTCTGTCAACTGAGTGTTGGATTAGGCAGATTGCCATTGGCAATGAAATTGGACGAATAAGCTCCTGGGAGAAATTGTCTTTTTCGGGCTTGCTTTTTAAGCATTTAAGACAGTGAATGCATTATATGGTTATTATTTAGTGGAATACCCTTCTCTTGCTCTTTTCATTATTCTTTTTCCTTGCTTCTTCCCCTCCTAATATAGCCAACCTTGTTGTCTACATGCTTCTACATTTTAGGTCAGTGATGAAGAAGTTGAAGCTATTCTTCCGGCTGCTGCATATGCTCTGGCCAAGATACACATGCACCTAGTACACAGCGGGTACGCCAGAATATAATTTTTACTGGTTTAATGTATCTCAAGTTTGTCTATGTGTTTTAATTCTACAATCAGGCTTATCATTGTTTGCTTTTATCTCTGTGGTCTCATCAGATTCTGTTATACAGCAAGGGGAGGATTTTGTTACTCGGAAGATGATATATTCGATTTCCGCACAGGTAATTGGCCTTCCTGTTATTACATTATTTGTAGCATTTGAGTTGTTGATATTTATGGTAGTAGAAATATCAATGGCCTACCTCCATTTGGTTTTTTTTTCTTCGTTAAGGGAAGATTAGGGGGAGAAAGTAACTAGATTTTAAATGGTGTATCATGGCCAAGTGTAATGATAATGGCCAATGCCATATTGAGCTTTTCTTTTTTTTTTTTTTTTTTTTTTTTTTTTTTTTTTTTTTTTATGGCCAATGCCATTTTGAGCGGTTCTTTTTTTTTTTTTTTTTTTTTTTTTTTTTTTTTTTTTTTTTATTTTTTTTTTTTTTTTTTTTTTTTTTTTTTAAAAGATAAGCAAAAACAATAGTTAAACAAAAAATTTTTCATTAAATATAATCAAAAGTTTTGGATATCCCTAAAAAAATCACACTAGTGATATCTGTTCAAAATAACTAGAATTCTTCTCTAAAGTCATAAGTAGACAATGATTTAAAAAACAAATAAGCAAGAAAAAAATTGAAGCTTGACTATTAAATTTAAACTATAACTGGAAAAATTAATAAAACGATTAGAGGACAAAAATGTTCAAAAGCCGTACGATGATGTTTGCCCCTGTTTTCGTTTCATGGGGCCATTGGGGACCAAAATTGCCATGATCTGCAGAGGGAACGGATTCACTCGTTTTCCCATTGCTGGACGGGTGCATGAATGACAAGCCAATCCAAATCTGCTTATTGTGCTTATATATAGAAAAATATATTCAGGTCCTTTCCAAATCACTGCAGTCGCCTTCGAGTGAACATCAAGAAGCCAACACCCGCACCTTGAATGGCTAAGAGAAATATGGATAGCAGTCAGGATAATAAAAGAATGAGATCAATTAACAAAACCAGACCTGCGAGTCGTAATTGTAGCGTTGAAGGCAGGCTAAATTAGAAAATTAATATTGGAAGGCCAAAAACTAATGATCTTGTATGATGCCTTTTGTGAGAAAAGAAAGAATGAGAGGAAATATTGGGACTTGGATTAATTTCCCTCCAAGCAATTTGGGGATATAAATAGTAAACTACATATGTACAATATAGGTAACTAATCAAAGGATCCCCAAAATAATCTGCTTAATGATCTGCTAATTTATAGCTCCTAATCTCAGCAGCTAAATTACAACTCAATTATTACTGCTAATTAACAGCTAATCAGGGCAGCTAATCATAAACACTCCCCTCAAGCTGGAGCAATAACATGTTATATGTGTCCTAGCTTGCCATGCAAAATGTATTTTTCAATTTTCGAGGTCCTCGTAAAAGATTTGGTCAGATATATTTGCCAATTTGAATTCGGTTCGAAACTGACAAAGGAAGTAAGATATTGCGCATTCCCTGCTCATCTTTTGTCTGATGAAATTGAACAATCGATCTCAATATGTTTTCGTTCTTTTTCATGAAAAACATTGGATTTAGGCAAAATATGGAGTGCTGCTTGATTGTCACATATTAAGTGCATCTGTTTTAATTTCTCCACACTTGTTCAACTCTTGAAAGGAAGGTGCTTTGAGCCAAACAAGTTCACAAGTGGGCTACAGGCCATGGCTCGATAACTCTATGCTTCTGCGTTTGACTAGCCACAAGAACATTTTGGCATTTTTTAACTTTTCCATGATATTAAATTTCCTCAATCATGAATACATATAACCAAAGAAGTGGGATCCATCTGTCAGGGGAGAAAACCTGCCCAGTCTGCATGCTGAATAGTCCAACCACAATTAGTGAATGACCCCTTGGTTCTCAATATAACAGACCTTGCCCAGGAGTTCCTTTTGATATATCTGATGCGAACAATAGCATCCCAATGACTATGCCATTGGAGACTGAAGAAATTGGTAACCACACTCACGGCAAAGAATTCCCGGGTCGTGTTAGTAAGATAGTTTAAATTTTCCAAAAGCCTTCGATAATCTGCCAGGAATCTTTAAGATGGCTTTTCCCTGTCCTGGAATAAAGTTTTAGCCATTGGGATCTGTTTATGAAAATTAGCTGGCTGTATTAGCTGTAAATTAGTTGTAAATTAGCTACTGAGATTAGGAGCTATAATTAGCAGATTATTTGGGAATCCTTGATTAGTTACCTATATTGTACATATGTAGGACTATTTTATATCCATTCTTGAGGGAAATAATATCCAAAGTCAATATTTTGCCTCTCATTCTTCTTCTTCTCACATGTATCAGAGCCAACAAAGGGGCCTGAATAGCATTCCTCTTCTTTTCTCTTTCTTCTCTTCTAAAGTGGGATTTCCAATTACCCTATTATTCTCCCTCTCTTCTATAAGGTCACGAGCCACTTATCCCCAAGGCGCTACCCAAGTGACCGGCGACCTCCAGAACACCAAGATTGCGTCACCGGAAATCCTCCTCGCCGTCGGTCAGCCGCACAGCGTGCGAAGATTCTGCCACGTGTCCTCTTCACTGTTTTGCTTACTGAATATGGCTGATAAGGTCTAAATTCAATCAAGTTCTCTTCTTGCCTAATTTCTATTGGTTATTACTAACTGTAAAACTTCAAAGGCAATAGCAATTACATTTTCTTGGTTCAATTCTATTGAGCTATGGTTCTTAGGTCACGGATATGAATAATCATCTTATTAAATTAAGAATGCTACTTGATATCGTTGCAATTGATTGGACGGCATGGATTAAAATTGATGCTCAGTTTTGTGTAGCCTATTATGGCAATACTCTGAATTCCCAAATTACTCCTCGCTTTTTTTTCAGTCTGTAAACGCTGTTGTAAAGGTTCTGGACCAAAAAGCCATAACATTGTAATACCAAATGATATACCCAAATGAATTTTACAAATGTTTGTACTCTAATATTGTACATTTTGCAGCAAAATCAAATGGATATGGGCTTAGTTACATTTTGGGGCAAGTTGAGACATATCGAAGATGAGTTTGTGTTTCCAATTATGCCTTGCACAAGAGAGAATATTGCTGACAAAGAAAAACAAAGAGACAAGATTTTTTATGGTCTTGGCTCTAATCCTCGGCCTCGGAACCCCGATCTTAGCTCTGTTTTCGAGAATCGAAATTTTGAGACTGGTTCCATTGTTCCTACCTTAGAAAATATCTCTGCTTCGATTCTTCGTATTTTCCACCTTCCAGCGCACCTCCTAACATTGAAGCCTCTGCTTTTGCTGGTCCAGAATAGGTATCAAATGGAAAGTAATAGGTATAAAGGTTCCTGCACTTAATTTGTGATAAACCAGGTACATACTCGTGAAACCTGTTGGAAATTACATGGTAAAACCGTGCTCAGAATCAAATCTGCTGGTACTTGATTGGAACGACCGACCTGCATGCTGGTTCAAAGAGTAATGGAGCTGGAATTCTTTCCTTTGCCTGGTACATCAAGCAATGCATCACTCTGACCAGGATCAGAATATGCCCAAATTCTAGGCAGCCAAACAAAAAGCTCAACAAACCAGTCACGCCAGTCTACAACACTCTCTAGCACTTCAGTTGCTTGTTTGTCTCGGTCCTCAAACTGGTACTCCTTGGATACTTGATTCAGGCGCTTTCCGATCATACATTTCCTAGTAATGAAACATTTGGTTGTTCCTCGTACTTCTCATTCCTACTCTAGAATTCATCCACAGTCAACCTTAGGGCTAATGGTTCAGACTAAAAGTTTAAAAGGCATTGGGACAGTTCAACGTTATTTCATCAGTAACTTTACAATTTGTCTTATACACCCTTGGCTTGTCTTTAATAAATTTAAATTTCCGTAGCAAATCACCTGAACAGCTTGATTGCATTGTCTTTTTTCATAGCTAACTATGGGTGTTGTGCAAGGATATCGGCTGTAACGGGGAAGAGATTGGAGTGAAAGAGTGGAGGTGTTGGAGAAAATAAAACAGATGACAACTGATATGTGACAATCAAGCAGCACTCCATATTGCCCTCAAATCCCCAATGTTTCATGGAAAGAACGAAACGTGCATATTGAATCGATGTGCATTTCATCAGACAAAAGATTTTGAGTCAGGATGCATATCTACTTCCTTCCAATGTCTTTTTCCCCGTACGCCCGATCTGCACAACCAACCACCATAGTTAAGCTATGAAAAGACGAATGCAATCAAGCTGTTCGGTGATTTTGCTAACGGAAATTAAATTATAAGGACAACCAGGGGTGTATAAGACAGATTGTAAAGTTAACTACCTGATGAATGAAGTTGAACTGTCCCAATGGCCTTTAACTTTAGTTTCTGAACCATTAGCTAAGGTGACTGTGGATGAGGTCTAGAGTAGGAATGAGAGTAGAGAACAATGTTTCATTACCAGAAATGTGATCGGAAGTGCCGGAATAAGTATCCAAGGAGTCCACAAGTTGACGAACTGAGACGAAACAGAGCAACTGAAGTGGCGCTAAGAGTGCTGTAGAACTAGGTGACTGTTGTTGACTTGTTTGTTTGGCTGCCTGGAATTGCAGTATTCTGATCCTGTTCAGAGGTGGATGCAATAGTTGCTTGATGTACCAGCAAAGGAAGAATTTCAAGCTCCCATTACTCTGAACCAGCAATGGCAAGGTCGTACCAGTACCCAGCAGATTGATTCTGAGACGGTTTAAACCATGTAATTTCCCCCAACAGGTTTCAAACGAGTATGTCCTAGTTTATCACAATAAGTGCAGTGAACCTATACCGTATTAACTTTCCATTTTTGATTACTATTCTGGACGGCAAAAGCAAGGCTTTCAATGGTTTAGGTGTAGGTGAGCTTGGAGTGATGGAAATACGAAGTAAAGTCCGGGCAGAAATTGTCTTCTAGGTAGGAAAACAATGGAACCAGTCAAAATTTGATCTCGAACAGAGTAAGATCGGGTCGAAAGGCCGATTAGAAGCAAAGGAACCAATAAAAAAAAAAAAAAACTTGTCTCTTTGTTTTTCTTGGTTCAGACAATATTATTCTCATTGTGAAAGGCGAATAATGGAAAACAACTCATCTTTCATGTGTTCAACTTTGCCCAATGTAAGCTAGCCATATCCATCCTTGAATTTTGCTGCAAATGGACAATATTAGAGACAACATTGTAATTTGTTGTATTCATTGGTATAAACAATGTTTTGGCTTTTTTTGTCCAGACCTGCTTACAACAGGTTTAGCAAGGACTGAAAAAGAGGAAGTATTTGGGCATCAAGAGTATCCATAATAGGCTATACACAACTGAGCATGACAATTTTTAATGCAATGCCGTCCTAGAAGTCACTAAAGATAGATTGTCGGTTGCAACCGATGATCAGGTAGATTTTTTTAATAAGATTGATCAATCATTCCTTGACCTAACAGGAACCATAGCTCAATAGAATTGGAACCAAGAAAATGTAATTTGCTACTTGGCCTTTGAGTTTTTAAAAAACCAGTAGTAAAATAAACCATAGGATTAGGGAAAGAAGACGACTTGATTAGA